ATAGGCTTTGTGTGTTAAAAAGCTGAACTTCAAAGCCTTATATCTTTTTTTTGGTACGGCTGAGCTTTTTGAGATTGAACAATATGATAGATTGCTTACTTAAAAATGTATATTCCAAATATGAATAAGATTGTAAATAGACTGAAAATCTCAATAACTACCTTAAATATAAAACTTGTCAAATATATGTACATATATGTTTATACTTGACAAATATATAATCTGTCAAGTTTTACACCTAATGTTAACTCAATATTAACTGTTTCAGTAACTGATTTAAATCCTCTCCTGGAATATTATTTTATTCAAACCGTAAAAGACAGTAGAAAAGACAAAAGACGAAGATACAAGACGGATCCTAGATTTTTATTGCGAGAATGGAAAGCGCGTGAAATCTTTACCTTGCGTTTTGAAGATATCGGGGTGGCCACGTCGCACCTCGTGCCAACTGTACCCGAGATCATTAACGTCAATTGGCGGTAGGAAAACCCCGACAGGCCATAGAGATTCGACATTCGTGGGACTTGCCTGTCGTAAGTGATTCCGCCGTAAATTCGTTCTGTAATTGTAATCTGTAAAACGAAAGAGTAAAAATACAACGTAAGTGATATTTTCACTCGCTACGTACGTACGTATTGAAAAAGATATGTTATCAATAATGATATATTTCATGCTGCTCGTGTAATTGGCCGCATTCAAACAATCGCGTGAAAATAGAATAGTCACCCAGATCCTTCGATCGCCTTGCGTTCCTTCGACCGATCGAAATGAATGACTTCTGGGCCACCGTGCGATCCCCTGGAGAGGAGAAGAGAAACGCGACGGAGTTAAAACATTTCAACTTAGTGCAATAGAAAACATATTATTGCGCAAATTTGATGCCTAACCGTCTGTCGTAACGCTGTGCTCATATGCATTAGGGGGCGACACAAATTTCACATGCACATTAGCGAGCGGCAAAGAACTGACCGCCGTAATTGCAAGAAACAGCAATAACAGCACTGTTATCTGAAATTAAGATAATGTTTAGCTCACGATAGGATCGGCAAGATTATGTTGCAATATGTTACAACTGGATTGTAAATTTTTGCTGTAAACGCGATGTAAACGAGAATTTATATTAACATGTGTATAAGTTTTTTTTAGAACGTAATTTTTTTTATTGCTTTGGAATTTATTTCTTCTTGACAAGATAATCAATTGTTCATTAAAATGAAATAAAAATACAAAGCGTTGCCAGGAGCCTTCTCTACTCTTCGCGCGTTTCCAATCAGACCGCGTTAGAAATATATCCGTGAATGTATAACCTTTAATTTAAAAAATTACACCGTTCAAACCACAATGCGTAGTTACCGAAACTCGATATACTGCTTTTATAGAAAGTTTTCTCAGATGCTAGAGTTGTATTGCGTGTTGCGCGGTTCAGAATATTACCATGTGATATTATCACATGAGATACACATGTAGTTAGCGAATACAATGAGTTCTTTTATTTTAAATACGTAAAATTCTATTTTTACATTTGCATACACATATATATATAAATTATACAAAACGTGATATGAACATCCTATTTTAAATTGAATTCACGTTTTGCTCGCCGAGAGAGAATTGCGCTATTCGATTTTCAAGGTGCAGCCGGTGACGAACGTCTTTCACGTGTCATGATACGGACGTTTGACGACAGATAAATCTCTTTTTTTTTTTTTTTTTGATGAATCATTCTGTGATGCAGAAAATAGCCGTACGAAATATGTATTAATGAAACGTGTCAAGGAGAGTACGTTTCTAAACTTCATTCCTTGTACAAAGACACGTACACGGAATTCATAATCTCGTAACGTGAAAAAAATACATGACGCTTATCCTTGAGATCAATCTTCGAACTTGAAGTTTATTACTCGCGGGAGAACAGTGTAAGAAAAAAAAAACCGTTTTTTATCGTACAACATCGGTTAGAAATGTTTGCCAACCGGTGTGAGAGCTTGAAAAATATCATCTCTTGTTCGCGATATCTCACAATTGCGAAGTTTCCATCCATTGTACTCTTTTTTTTTTTCAGATTTTCAGAAACGTGTGGCTCCCAATTTTTTTTTCTACACCGTAACAAACTTGACGTAACGTCAAAATGCGTTACGTCATTTCGATGACCTGCTTACGAAACATTTTGTCTTTTTCTGGTGAGCATGTAACACAAGATACTTTTCTCATAAGGACTACCCAGCAAGATTCCGCTTTGAAAGGTACAATATTTTTTTAGTCGCGACAATATAGTTACATTATATCTCTACATTCCATCGGGTATACTGTGTACCATTTATACACCGTCACGACTTTTAGCACGCGCGCGCGCCTACGCCTTGACGAAACGTTTGTACACGCGTGTGTATGTGTGTGTGTGTGTGTGTGTGCGAGTCCTCGAGGAGGAGGTTCGGTACATACACACATGAGCTCTGCAATGCGTATCAAACCACCCTTTCGCCTTCCTTTCCGCTCACCTTCACCTGAGAACACACTCGGCCGGCTTTTGAATCCGGCATTTGAGATTCAACGGCGCGGAAACCTTATGTGCATAGTAACACTTACACTGTAATAGATTATCGCCCGACAATTCCTGACAATATTCCGACAATAAAACTGAATATCGGAACGATTAAATTTTAGAAAAAAAAAAGGTGAAACTTGTTTTTTTACAAAATAGACAATTTAGTGACGAATAATACTTACGCAAAAACATCAACTAATGAAATATGAAAATTATAATTTTAAATACTGCATATATTAGATATATGTGTTATGTAATTATTATTAAATAATATTTAATTAATATAATTATTTTCAGTATTTTTCTATCAAATTGCTTAATCTACACGAGAAAAAAAACTTCATTAGTTTACATTTTATAGAAAAATTATGTAAAAAATATAAATATTCTTCTCAAAATTGTCTCAAATTTTAAATATTTAATGCGCGACTTGTGAGATATTATTTCATAACTACTCTCTATGCATAATTTAGAGTAATAATCGCACTCATATATTATGAAAAATTACTCAAACTGAACAATCAGCTAATGTAATGCACTGTTAAACGATTGCAATATTCTGCTGACACACAAATTCCTCTTGTTAAAGGTAAAAGTACATCACTTCACCCACCGTCGTCATTGTGCGATTGATCGTCAAAATTACGATCGGCGAAGGAACTCTTTGCACTCTCGCAACTATATTCTAACTAAATCGGCGGGACGTCTCGTGGATGCGGCTAGGAACTGATCCAGTTCGAATGGAGAACGTGTTGCGACCGCGGTGTGTGCATGAATTTCAGCATCCTCCTTCTAGCCCCCCACGTATATACGTACCCCACCTGCGTAGTTCGAACTTCTGTGGAGGTTCCTGAGATAGATACTGAGGATCTATCTATTTCCCCGTCGAGACTAGCGTATCAAAGCAAAACTTTCATCATTGACTTGGGATCGCGCTCGCCGCGATCGAATTTAGCGCTTACGAAATGTGCTCGCAACGCGCCGTATTTTTTTTCGTCCCCACGGTCACGACGAATCACGTGAAGTAACTGCGGGGGTCGATCACGGAATTGTATATATGAAATTGTTGCGAAACAGACGTTCTCTCTATTTTTGCAATAAAAGAATCGCCGATACGAACGTTCTATTGCATATGTGCGTATTTCTATACATGAATCAACGCGCCTTTATCTCGTTAGAAATTTAAAACACACTCCGCTCATTTTTTATCAATGGAAAAGAGGAAATTAAGCAAGTTGCAGTTTGCCGAAAAAAAAAAACGCACTATTGCGTTATTTCAACGAATTGGAGCATGTCGCATCTGCGTTTGTTGCAATATTACCGCTGTTCGTTGCGCGTGCAATGTATATAAATGCAATGCGATCTGATAGTGTTTATGAAATGTAATTATATCAATCCTGCTTAATTACATACAATGCGAAAGATAGGTATCTCGTCATCGAGGTTTTGCATTCGGAACGCGCGAGTCGGACTCTCTGTGATATCGCAAATATAATAAATAATTTACAAACGTTTCAACACACGTTCTCACGGGCCTCGTGCGCGCGGCCGTTCAAACGTTCGAATCGGAGCGCGCGCTCGCTCGGCGCGACAAGATGGCTGCCGCCGTGCTTCCGGTCCGTTGCGCGCCTAGTCGCGAGAGGATTTCGCGGGCGGCCGAGTTCATGGGTAATATTTCCCAAGATTCTTTGGTGTAACTGGGCGTACATGGGATTCGGCAGAACTTCAATTCATCGCGTGCGAGCGTGCATGTGTCATGTGTTGCGCGTCGTGTCATCGCGAAAATTTTCGTGCGCGTCGCGACGACACGTCTGCTCGTCTTCTCGGCCGCGGCTCGAAGATGGCGAAGTCCTCGTGTTTTGCGGCGACATCGCTTCTCTTGGAGAACGATGCCGCGTGTTTCGATGTTCCCCGCGAAATATCAATTGGCGCGCGGGAATGTCTCTCGATATGACGGCACAACGAACGATTGATTGTCGCTATGGGGGTTAAGTTACACAATCCATCCCCGATGTGTATATCGGCGCATTTGATGTGCGATTTGAGCGTAAAAAAATAAAAAATACGCGGCATTGTTTAGCGCGCTCAAACATGGAATAAAATTGCGAGCAAGATAATGTAATAGGGATGTCTCTGCTTGTCTGACGTTTGTCAGCGAGAAATGTATGTTTGCAGCTGCCGCGGATTCGTAGGAGATTATGTCGGCGCAGCAAAGTACGGATCTTCCAAATAACACTACGAAGCAAGAAGAGGAAATGATATTGCAGGAGTCTGAGGTACAAGGAGACAGATGTGTGATCTCTATGTAACAAATTTTGTTTCTGCTGTTCCGTACACAAAGATAATAGCAATTGATTATTACGAGAGTGATGACACACTTCAGTTCCACGAATAATTTAACTTTATTTTTATCTGCACAAAATATGATTCTTGATATATTTTTTAATTAATATTTATATATGTTTGATTTAGGATAATTCTGTAGATATATTAGAATGTTTGTCAGTTATGATTAATAATAATGACACTGAAACCGACCCTGACCAAGTGCAAGAACTCATATTGGACGATCAGTTGCTTTCCACAATGATGGCTACAATCACACTGCCTGATGGAACTCAAGCATTTGTTACAAATAATCTCAGTGATATCGGTTAGTGAGTTTTCTTATCCGATATCTCAATATAAATTATTTTTATTTTTTTTTTTTTGAATGTTTATAATCTTATGATAGTAATTATTCATGTTTTTAATTACGAAAACCAAAATATGTTTACAGATCCAAATCTTAAAACCCAAACATTACAAACATTTGAAAATGGAAATACCATATTGTTAAGAAGCTTGCCAGAATTAGGTAATGGCAAGACTCTTCAACTGGAACTGGATCCGGCTACATTTGTACAGACTGAAGATACTACTGTTGAAAATGTGGAGAACACATATTCACAAGTGGAGTTCATCAATGGCGCAGCTTACATGGTCGCCAGCCATATGGATGTCGATGAAGATTTATGGGAAATTGAAGATGGGAAATTAAAGAAAAAAGATCCTAAGATCGTGATCAATAAATTGTCTGATGTGAAAATTAGATATCCCTGTCCCAGAGAAGGGTGTTCAAAGATTTACAGCACACCTCATCATCTCAAGGTAGTGAATTTCTCAAAATTGTAAATTAAAATTTATAAATTAAATTAAAAAACATGAAAAAATTTGATTTTTTTTTGTTTCTAACATCAACTTATTAATTCTATTCTCTAATATTCATTTTTAGGTTCATGAACGTTCTCATACTGGTCAAAGGCCGTACAGATGTACGCATCCGAAGTGTAAAAAAAGCTTTTCGACCGGTTATAGTTTAAAAGCACATTTGCGAACGCACACGGGAGAAAAACCGTACAAATGCACAAACGAAACATGCAGCAAGAGTTTTAAGACATCCGGCGACCTGTTAAAACACGTGAGGACTCACACGGGAGAACGTCCCTTTCTGTGTCCATTCGATGGTTGCGGTCGATCGTTCACTACAAGCAATATTAGAAAGGTATGTGATTACTCACACATTAAACAATCAACATATATAGTACTAGTATAGTATCAACATGTATAGTTTTGAAATATTTCAGTAAATAACTAAATTCTAACTAAAAGAAATTTTTTTATCAGGTTCATATAAGGACACATACTGGTGAACGGCCGTACAAATGCACGCATCCGATGTGCGGTAAGGCTTTCGCTAGCGCGACAAATTATAAGAATCACATACGAATCCACTCCGGTGAGAAGCCTTACGTTTGTTCCGTAGAAAACTGTGGGAGAAGATTTACCGAATATTCTAGTCTGTATAAACATGTTCTTGTAAGCACTGGTTATTAACAATAGCGTGGTAGTCATTTAGATCAAGAATATAATAATACTGATTGAATGTTTATAAAAATGTGATTTTAGGTGCACGCACCGCTACGACCATTCGCATGTACTCTCTGCTCCAGAAGATATCGGCAGAGTAGTACGCTGCTAATGCACAAAAGAACAGCCCACGGATTACTCGATGGCGACGATGGTGCCGATCATTTACAAAATCCTCTGGAATTATCTAGTCAAAGTGAAAATCAAAAAAAGATTGTGAAAGAAACTGTAAGTACAACATGGATAAAATTCATCGTTCAGTGATGAATATTTTATACTATCACTATTTTAGTAGATGTAGTTTGCAAAATTAATTGATCTTGATTAAATTCGCAGCAAAAGCTACTTGGAAAAGACAAACAAATTCAAATTTCCAAAGTGATCGACAATGTGAACGACAAGGAACCGCAGATCTTACTAGTAGGAGATTCTTTGCAAATTGCCGCATTACAGGTATTTTACATTTTGTTGTGCGGATCTATTTTAAATATGTTGTGTGTAATAACCATTTTGTATGTGTAAAATATATCTATTTGTGAAATGTGTTAAACATAGAAGATCGATCTGGACGAGAATTTCGACGATCCTGGCATCGACGCAACATTCGAGGGATTAAATATGAAGATCGAAGATTTGGAATTTACCTGGAACTAGTGCGCGAAAGAAAAGACATGTACGCAAAGAAAAGTTCTGAGCGTCGAATATTTATCATCATGGTAATGTTTTTTCCATTCTTTAGAGCAAAATCAAATGAACGAGAATCAGAATTGATGAAAGAACTGTGTCAGAAAGTGATTAAGCTACATAGTAGCTATGACAAATAAAATTTAATTTTCTTATTTCCGTCGAATGTTTATTTTGAACAAGCGAGCAAGGTAAGATTTGAAAGAATTTTTTTTTTTTTTTTTTTTTAATTAATACTTTTATGTTGTAATTTTCTGCAAACTGGAGGCAGTGCCTTATCCGAAAATGTGTCTATTGTGCGCAAGGAAAGAGAAAGACAAAATATATTTCATCTTTTGTCCATTGGTAGTTGTATATGTGATATGTTCGTGTATTGTTCTTATAATTCTTCTAGCCAAACTTTTAGTATGATATAGATGGATACATTTGTATTACGCACAAATGTTCCAAGAAGAATAACAAGAAAAAAAATATACTGTTTTGTATCACATTTTACTTTTCTCACATTAGTTCATTTTCTTGAGATACATTTGTATAGCTGAATTTTTATAGAAACAAGTTTGGTGCAATATTTTTCTCAAACTTTAAAAAACTAATATTAAATGACTATTTATAACAAATTAATATACGAAAAATAAAAAATAGTGTACATTAATACAATTAATACACAGAAATTTTAAATTGAGTTCAATTCAAAAATTCATCCAAGATACCTACTTTGCACTTTGTATATAAATATATAAATAAATTACATAATTCTAGAATTTATTGATTTATTTATATATTTATATATATTGTAAATAACTCAACCAATTTTATCTCTTCTGAATAAAATTTAAAAAAATTTATTGTAAAAAAAGACACCTTGGCCACAGGAGTCAAATCTGCATTCCGTGCAGTCGCTTTATCAATTTGGCCATTTAAATTAAATATACGTTTATAATCTTCCAAACTTTTTAATATTTTACATACTTTTTTTATTTTCTATTATTTTTTAAGACCTAAGTGATAATTATTTCAACGAAATCGCGAATGTTTTTTCTTAGACGGAAAACGAGACTTTATGTTGCAATTAACGTTTAGTCGTTGATTAAACAAATTATTAACATGGTGGAAATATAACAGATAATGTACTAATATTACGCATTTTGATTGAAATAGCTTTGATCTTCTATTAAAAACAGATCGTAAGATAATCTTCCTGAACCTTGAAATTCTGTTTCCTCGTTCTCTTAACACGCTTCTATCCCCAAACTTGTGAAATAAGGAAAGAGATAGAGCGTGTAATAATACACAAAGTCTTCATGTATTTCCGAGAATTTCAATGTCAAGAAATCTTTGCTTTACTGACTTTTATATTACTAAATTTTAATTTTATAACACAATGTTCAGGAAGATAATTTTTCAACGAGCACTTCATAGGACTTCTTTTCGATTCTCCCACCATCCGGATAATCTTTCGCGTAGTGCTGCTCTTGATTACGGATAGTCTCTATTCAGCCAAGTGCTCGACCGCGCTGATCCGTTAATCTCGCAGATAACGTTCCTGCCTTTTTGTGACAACACGATCGCCAATTTCTGTCATTGAATTGTTAATCTCGTCAAAAATGATTTCGAGTTTTGCGAACGTCGTTGTAAAGTGTGTCTCGTCGGCTTAGGTAGATGTGTGCGATTAGCTCGAACAGCATGCAACGAACCAGACAGGTAGGTATCAAACGATTAAACTGATAAAGGGGCAATAATGTTTCAGGATTAACTGTCGTTGACATTTAGTGTTTAAAGGCATTCTCAATTTTTATGTATGTAAACAACGTTATCGAGCTCTGTTTTTTTTTCGAGAATCCATGTTTGATGTACTCGTTTTCCGATTTAGATATCCATTTTATGATACAAATCTTATTCCCCGAAAAAATAACAATATTGTGTAATGTTGTTGAATCATAAAATTTTATGTGAACGAAAACCCAATTTGTATTTTTTTAAATTTTACATGTAATATACAGAACGTGTGTAACATGTACAATGTTTGTATTGACGTTAAAATTGACGAGGATTGCATTTGTTGAGTGACATAATTTCTTTAGTTACAGAAACTTGTTTTTTTTTTTTTTCTCACGATAAAGACACTTGAAATCAGAAGATATAAGAGCGCATTTATCTCTCTCTCTTGTAAATTGTTAAATCTAAGCAGCTACCTGTATATTATATCTCAGTGTTTTATTGAAAAATTCAAGAAATGCGAAAAAATAATAGATAACGCGCGTATCAGCGTCAATCGTAATGTTATCGTTTGAAGTAGCGGCAGAGCAGAAAAAAAATTGTTTCTAAGTAATTACGATTTTCACATGTAATCTCGGTTCCCGCCGTGTACAACTACGATTACTATACACTACGCTGATGTCTCGCGATGTGTTTACTTTCAAACATTTTTTCGATTGATTTCAATGATTTATGTCGGGCATGTGTTTCTTGTTAATTAATACGCAAAAATAGAAATGATTTGTGGTATGACACATCAGAGTTTTTTTTAAACGTGTCTCTGAATTTTTAAAGAAACAAACGTTGTTTTCATCCGGGCAATTATTTTACCCAGTCATATAATTCATCTCGGAATCTTTAACTGATTTTTACGATAAGAATTTTTTCCTTAATTTTCAATTAACAGACTGAATATTTTTTTATATATGATAAAATTATTTTTTTTTAATGTACTAAAAAGATATAAAGAAATTTACTTATTTATTTTCTCTTTGATTTGTACGTAAAAAAAAACTTTTAACGCACATTTTATTGACACGTGTGATGTTAGATATGTATATAAATCAAATAACAACGTGTATTAGCTCCGCGATCTCATTAACGTGATCAGGGCGTAAATTTTGTCGTGGTATAATATATTCAATCTTTTTCCACCACACGCGATCAGAGTTAATTTAATTTCGCGATAGGTAGAACACAAAAAAAAAACACATGATTAATATACCTCGCATATTTCTTTTCCGACGTACTGTCGTACATATTAATTGTTAACTAATTGCCGCACGTGTATTAGTACCGGCATATTTTAACCGCAGCTGTGACCGACACGACGTGTATAGTAAATGGAAGATAATAACAGTTGTTAAGTGACCGTTAACAGCCATAAAATTATTCGAGTTAAAACGCCGTCGTAAAACGTCGTCGTGTTCAACTAATCATTTCAACCTGCTTACATCGAAGTGTGACGTTTACACTTCCAAGTTACACGCTCCGCGTTAGATTTGTAATTATTATCGTGAGAGGTGTGATGACATCGATTGCAAAAAAAAAAAAAAAAAAAAAAAAAAAAAAAAAAAATAGATTTACAGAGTATTTTGAGAGCGCGAAGATCTGATGGGGCAATGAATTGGCGCGAAAAGATGTGACAAAAATGATCATTTTGTTGAAATAGAAAAACAAAAACATCATAACCTGTTACCTCCACAACTTCGCTTTGATCTCAACCGTGTATAGAACGTAACTGCATTTTGTAAATAATAAATTGTAATTTTTTTGCTGAACGTACAAAAGAATTGCGGGTTTGGTAAACTGTACTTGAGAAAAGAATAATGCGATATGGGCTGACCGTCATTCGTGCCGTTTCGCAAATAAAGGAAATGTTTCGTGCGTGAAACGCGGTCGCAAATTTATCTCGTCAATTAGAGACGATGATCGATACTAGCGTGATGCATGATTGTTAACATCGTCGAAGGCTCCATCGGTACGCATCTGACGACGATGACGCGCGTCTTATCGCTGATAAAAAAGACAAAAGAATTTTCTAGTTTTATCGCGTTCTAATATTCTCGATAAATATTTTTTATTCAAATTACGAAGGAGAATTATTCTTTTTCCGACTATATCTCACGTCGTCTAGACTCTCTCTCTCTCCCGCGCGAAAAGAGAATTTATAACTTCTGAAATGTTTTCGCGTTGCGCGCGAAGCCCTCCGCTCGCGTGCGATAATAAATGCGAGTTTTCTCGGACAGGTACAAACAAGCAATGTCCACATCGGCGATATTAGCTAATAGATATCGACGTGTAAGATGTTACGGTCGAGACGTTTCTCGCACGTCATAAATCATATTTTTCTAGATGCGTAATAAGAGGATCAAGGCGAATCGAACGCATTATCGAGTCTGTCGCTTTCGATTGTTTAACAGCTATTCGTTATATTCCATTATTTTTTTTTTCTTATCATTTTTATTAACCGTACTCTCTTTCAATTTGTCGAGCGCGACATCCAAATTTACTAATATCTAATTTTTTAATAAAAGAACTTATTTTTTCACTTTAACTCAAAGCGAAAATATATCTCAATCGGTTTGATCAATAATCGATTCCTCTCTTTCGACACGTATCGTGACTACGAAAACAAAAAAAAAAAAAAACAAATCGACTCGAAAATTCGTTTCGTGACGCAAGTACACGCTCTCTCATATGACCTCATATGACTTTCCGCCAATTCCGAGATACTTTTGTACTGTGCCGAGCTGTCGCGTTTATGCAAATTCGTGTGCGCGGCGGCACGAGTGTCACGGGACAAGGGGATGTGAGAGAGGCGCGAGAGAGAGAGAGACACGCGCGCGTGGCGTCACGCCGTAAATCATCCTTTGCAGCAAATACAAAAATCGATCGTTATTATTGCCGATCCGCGATCGGCATGTCGGCGGGATATATGGTGTTCATCGGTTGAGAGCGAACGCATTGCGCAACCGACACCGCTGAAGGAAGGGTTTTGGTAGCTCTCGAAGCGACGTCCAAAGGTGCGCCCACATACACTCTTCCATTCCGGATATAAACGCGGCTTCCGTACGTAACGTTCGCGCAGTTCTTTTCGAATTGTACTGTTATACTATAGAGAGAAACCTGGTCGATCGATCAAACGGTTAAATAAAAACGTAAACAATTATCATGCGCGCATATATATCGTAAAGAGATCATCATGCGAGACTTTTTGGTCGCAGAGTTTTGCGGGCACCTGACAGAGCCATCCGTTCTTTTCATTATCGACGAAGCGATTCACGATGGCGACGCAGCGCCTAGATCGACAAAAAGGCTACTGACGAATTGAAGATATCGAGTTGCGGTTGATAAGCATCGGTGAGAGCTCGTCACATTGATACGACAACGACGACTATCATCGGGCTCAAGAAACTCGTAAAAACGAAGCCGCTCTTCGTGGGGAGATACATTAGTGCGATTTTAGCGAGCGAATCAGATGCTGATGACCTCACCGTCGAGAAACATGTCGAGGAAGTGCGTCCACCCGTACGCCGTTTTAACAAAAGTATGATGATCAGCTGAGCTGGGAATCGTCTCACCCTCCAGACGTGTCTTGCCGCCAGCTAGATCCAACCGAGTAATTGACGTCGGCGGCAATACGAGAATGTCCAAGAAGCAATGGCTGGTCCTGCTGATGTTGTTTCTCACGTACTTGTTGTTCGGCGCTTCTATCTTCTTTTACATCGAGAGCGACTTGGAGCGTGACAAGATAGAGAAAGCCAAGGACAAGCGCAGGGAGATCCACGGTAAGCATGTGATGACAACGACGTTGATGATCGCTACAGTTCTGTCTTGCGCTGATGATCGCCTGAACAATACTAACTAAAGTTTTTTTTTTTTTTTTTTTTTAAACTAGCATTTCCCGGAGACACTCTCGAATCGAAACACGTCGACGTCGATATCTTGATCGATAGAACGTCAACGAAATGACATTCGCGATCGGCGATCGCGAACTTATCGAATTTTACTTCGCGTTTCCACGAACTTTCTGATTAATTTGAAATCGATAATCCATAATACAAATTTCGAACAGCTGGGAGAGAGATGAATCATGAATACTCGTAAATTTAACGACACAAGTAATGACACAAGCTGCTGTGTTTCGATGTGTTTGCACGCGGGAAAGAACAAACAAATTCGCCAAAAGCATTTTTCGCACGCTCGCATTCATAGCTCATCGCAAATATAAGCCGTAGTAATAAAATAAAAGAATAGCGAAAAGAAATATAAATTAAAACGAAGAGCGCGTTCCGATTTGCAAAATCGGTTTTAATTGACAGGCTTCCTTGATGCGTCGGCGCATCACAGCAAGGAAAAAGTTAAAATGCGAGAGGAATATAGCATAAAAACGCGCGAAAGGAACGGGATTGCGTGTCACTTGCAATGCACAGTTTGCTACTCGCGCATCATTGAACTATTCAACACACTCTCGTTTATTAAATTTGCAACGCGAAATCCTTGAGAAGTATATGTGTTTATTAATTATCGCAAAGTTTGATACGCGTTCAAACATATCAATTGTGTGTAAAATCACTTAAATATCAATTATAAAATATCTCTCAATATATATAAGTTACAAATACATCGCTCGCTCGCGCGTTTGCGATTGATCGGCTATACTGATTATATTCCGCGCGCGGTGATTCGCAACGCATTTCGAGATTTCGGCGATAATAATGCAAATAATGCTTAGACCACGGTCGCGCGCAGAAGACGAGTCCAGCGTTGCAAAAAACGTCCGCGGAATTTCCGCCGCGCATCTTCTAAGAAAGTACGTGTTCAGGGTTTCAAAGCAAAACAGTTATTGTCAATCAATCTTAAGCTAATTGGGATTAAATTAAAAACCAATTATGTGACAAATTGCCGATTGACGAATTCGTACGACGATCAACGTATTCAAAATTCGTACGATATGTTTGATTATAATTGCGATTTTACAATCGAATTAAAATTTCTTCGAAACCACGAATCTTCGTGTTTCTGTATAGTTTGTTGACGCAGGTCGTCGTTCCGAGTTTTTAAAATTGAATTTGACGGATTGTTGAATTTAAAAATATGAATCGTGCAAAAATTGCGTCGAATCTTTTCTGACAAACTCGTAAATAGCCGGGAAATCGCCACGGCTGTTCGATGTCATTGGGTTTTGTATGCATGACCGTGCCCGGGCGCTATTGTTGTGACTTGCCAGAGAAGAAAGGGCATTTATTTAAATAACTCACAGTTGATCACAATGTCGCACGCTAAAGAACCGACACGGATAGGCCCCCGACGGCCAGTGTCAGTGTCATCGGCAGGGCCATTACAGATTACGAGATCATTTTCATCAACCACTCCTGTCAAAATCATTGCCGGTCGAAAACGGCGATATCCGTTTTCACGATTTATATATCGCGCCTATTTGTTCTCCTCCCCGTGTTCGGCTTTTTCGTTTTATATTGAAGAGAACGCATAAACGTTAATATGTTTGTCTCTTCTACGCAGAATTTATTTAATCAGTTTTTTATTTCTTCAGACAACGATGTGATTGTTATCGCGACGATTTAACATTATTATTAACTTGGACAATATATATAATCCCGTTACAAGTACTTTTCCTTGTGTGTAAATTAGAGAGAATTAAGATAACTTTAAGATAACTTAACATAAGATAAACAACGATATTGCAAAAAACGAAGAAGAGAGATAAAAAATGTACATTTCAATTAATTAAAATTTATAAAATATTTTTTACGCGAGAGTACAAGTGTTTTTTTAACTAAATATTAGAATCAATACGAACCGATATATGCTGGATGTATATAAATATATGTATATTTATACATATATATATATATTTTTTTTTTCAAACAAATTAATAAACATGGAGATTGGAAATTTAGTTCAAAAATTCAATACAAGATGCTAATTTTGCATCTCACGTGTGAAATCTCATACATGTTTCTTTTCAAATCTCATAACACAAGCTAAAAATGTTCTTCAAGTAAGTAACAAAAATTTACAGCTGTCTGATGTACATGGCGAATGTGTATCTTGCAATTAGTAGAATTCGCTAAGTTGTGCGCACGAAAATATACTACTTACGCACGAAGAAAGGTCCAGGCAAGGTTTGTAAACGGACAATATTAAAACGGCAAATATCAGCTGATAAGATAATGTTACAGTAATTGTCTCGAAGTGACTCCGTCCGGAAAGGATGGCGAAATAGGATTATAAGCGCGCGAGCGGGCGAGCGGAATAAACTTTTTAAGATCGATCGTCATCTTTTGTGATGACGCGTCCGCGCGTCTGTTCGAATTAAATACGTAATAATATAATTTCTCTCTTTCAGAATTACTCCACCAGCACTACATACCCACCACCAATCACAACCAACACGAAATCCTACAGATACTCACCGAATATTGCGGCAAGTCCGTCTACAACGTCACCGACGACGAAGTCGATCATTACCAATGGGACTTTTATAATAGTTTTTACTTCGCCTACACGGTTGTCAGCACTATCGGTAGGAATGTTGGATTGAAATTTTTCGATTGAGCATTTTGTATCGCGTAGATATAGATTCGTGTATATATCATTTGAGCTCTACTCTAACTCGTGTTTAAGATAAGTTATTTTTTTTTTATGTAGAGTGGAATCTCCAGAATTATATTGTTCTTTCGTTTTCAACCTTTAGTACGCGCTTACTTGAACATATACGAAAGAAATCTATTTTGTTCATTTATGAATATACACAGAAAAAAATGGAGTTTTTTCAATTGAAGTCGACGTCACGGGCTGCACAAAAATAAATATAGTTCGTGCAATCGCATATGCGATCAATTAAATATCTAGATTCTTAATGATGTTGCATCGACAGGATATATTTTAATTAAACTGATGCTGTCGATTCAATATCTTTTTTTTTTTGTTTTCCGTGTACATGTGCTGGTTTTTATTTTGAATCTGACCATTCGTTCACTTGCTGCCGCAGGATACGGCAATCTTGCTCCCACGAACACGCTCAGCCGCATCCTGATGATCTTCTACGGCTTAATCGGAATCCCGATGAACGGGATTCTGTTGACGCAGCTGGGCGAATTCTTCAGCCACGTGTTTATCAAGGCTCACAAGAAGTACAAGTCCTACAAGAGCAGCCAGCCGTTACCCGATTACTGCACCAAGAAACCAACGCCGTTTGAAACGCGCAAGGTTGAACTGGCCGCGCAGATCCTCATGTATCTGATACCGGGTTTCATCATGTTCATTTTCTTTCCGGCGTTTCTATTCATGCACTACGAGCGCTGGAGCTACGACGAGTCCGTCTATTACGCTTTCGTCACGCTCACAACCATCGGTTTCGGCGATTTCGTGGCAGGTAAATATCCTATCTTATCGATTTCTCGGATGTACGTGTAATATGTGTGCGATTATTATTATTATTATTTTTTTTTATGTAATTGATAACAAACGAGATTTCATTTGTAACTGCGCGACGATCCGCTACTCTCTCACTCACTCTCTCTCTCTCTCTCTCTCTTTTTCTGCTTTCTCAAAGCGCATCAAGATCCGCTTTTTGTGATCCGCACAAGTCTCGTACATTTCATCTCGCACATTCATTCATTAATATCACTCGTAATCAAAATATAGAAAAATGCGAAATATATTATTATCGAGATGAATATTCGTGTTGCGATTAAAGAAAGTTGACGTAAAAAAAATGGACTACACGAAACATTTGTTCTTTTTTTTTTTTTTTGACGTGTAATCGATAAGATTCAAAACAAAATTATAAACATTAATTTCATTTGAATCAGTTCGATAACACGACGGACACCACTTGAGGACGTGACGTACGTTAAATTTCTTCAGCTTTCTCGATTGACGGTAGTGATACGACACGCACACTTGTGTGCTCTCTTATCACATTCATCACAATTGAAAGAAGATCTTTTTGAATTTACTTGTTTCTCTGATTTAACCATAAGTCAAATATTTTTCCTCATTTACATGCTTACACGTGAGAAGTAGCAAACTCCGATACGTAAGTATAGTATTTTTTCCTCCCACATGCCTGTGTCGTGAATCAAGATAATTTGTATTAAGATCGTGTGATAAATATCTGGTTGAATTGCGCAGGCCAAGATAATACAAAGGGAAGCGGTCCATTCTTCATCATGTACAAAATATTTTTGATCTGTTGGATCTCCTTTGGACTGGGTTACATTGTCATGATAATGACGTTCATCGCTCGCGGTATGCGCAGCAAAAAGATTGTGCAGCTCGAGCACAAACTGGCGTTGAATCTCAAGCAGACGCAGAGCAAAATTTGGAACGAGTTTAACAAAGAGGTCAACTACCTGCGTCGCGTTTTCAACGAGTTACAGCTCTCTAAGGTCAAAGTAAGTGACCTGACCCAGATATATTTCAGCGTTGCGCATTCTTGACCAGATTGTCCTTTCGACTTTCGCGTGTTTCGCAAAAACAGAGTTCGTATAAGAATAAACAGTTCTTTTTCTTCTTCCATTTTTTCCAACTTATTTATTTTTTTTTTTTTTAAAGAATTTCATTAAGAATATTTTGATTATTATTTTCTTTATTACGTTGTTTTTGTCATTCTTTTTTACTTTCTCTGTTATTAGAGAGTATATGTTGACGAGTACGATTACGATGTTCCTGCGACGAAATTCTCGCGCAGCAACAGTTTTCCGGATTTGCGTAAGTTGGCGATCGGTGGATGTACGGACCACTTGACACCACATCCACGACGACGCGCTAATAGCGAGGTAGTACCAATGGTAAGCAAGTACTCTTAGAATATTAACTTTCACGGGATTTTTTTTATTTTATTTGTCTCAAAACAATGCTATTTGATATAGGAGCAATTGACGCGCGTGGTATCCGAGACGGACCTTCAGAGAATAGACAAAACCGCTACGTTCGCTGCACACGCTATAGTGCAGCCGGCAGAACTTTTAGCGCGCTTGGTCAACATTCTCGGTTACATACCTCCGCGGGATGAGTTCGAATGGGATCAGAACGACGAACAGTCGAAACAAATGGATGCTCAGACCGACTTGACGGGAAAATCAATGGATCAACAAAGTCTGCCCAACAGCACTACTCAATGGACAATCGGTGGCGAGAGATTCCCGTTCGCCAGACCTCGATCGAGAGCAGCCAGCGAGATGCGATTGCACGCTACAAACGACGAGTACGTTAATCCGAGCACCGAATGGACTTGGTCCGGTCCGGTGGCGCCGAACAAGATGCAGGAAATGATGAATGCACGCGACACTCTGCCTTCGAAAGACGGCAGCAGCAAACCGTACAGGAAGTTCCCGTCGCTCGCGTTGCCGATCACCGCGCCCAAAAACTTCTTTCCCAAATGGACAAAGCAATTCATGGGCAAGAGATCGTCGGATGCTGGTTTTACTACGAAGAACGTCGATAAAGTCGAGACAGCGGACGACAGCGGTCAACAAAACAACTCACTTGGTCCGCCACCGTTGTATCTGGACGACAGACACGACTCGATCACGAGGAGGCCGTATTACACGCATACCGGCGCCAATCTGTCGACTTATCTGGAAGGTAACAATTTGCTGGAAGAAACAAGCCTGGCGGATTTCCTCAAAGCGTTGACCGCTCTTCACGCAAGGGTGGGAACGGGAGTTCCTGAAGAATACATCGCCAAGCCGAAAAGAAAACTAGGAACGGCCTGTCTGACTCCGCCAAAGTTGCCCAGTTTGTTCACCCTGTTCTCGCAAAACCCGTCTGGTTCGGCGACTCAGAGCAATCAGAATACCGTCACGGACACGCAATCGTATCAGTCCAGCAGAAGGATGTCTTATAAGACTGCGGAAAGTACTTCCGGCTGCACCACGCCTACACCCTACATCAAGAGGGACAGCCTTGCCGTGAGACCTCGAAGATTTTCCTTGAGGCCGGTTCCAACCCCAATCGGTCCTTCCACGCCGACCGATTATGGCTCGCCACGATTGTCGGTAAGCTTACAAACTTCTTTGGTTGTTCGAAAATTTTAACAAATCAAATCAGTTTTATCTCTAAAATATTTTTGTTGCGTAGTTACTGAATTTCGTAAAAAGATTTTCGAGAGCTTATATTTTCTAATTTTCTTTATATACAAATAAATGTCATAAAATTCAATTTTGTTACAGTTACGATCATCTCCAAAGATAGACAATAGAGACCTGCAAGAGCTCTCGACGGATCCCTTCATTTTCGTATCGCCGAAGAAATCGCTCGTGAATATGGAAGGACCGCTAGGACTTTCGTCGCCGATCAAACAGCCATCCAATGGCCAACGGTTTTCCATAAGACCCGCGCAGCTCAGTGCTCAATCAAGTCCTACTGACAACGTACCTTTATCTACGCCATTACAGACGTTAAAACCACTGCCGAAATGGAAAGCGAGTGCGTTGCAGCGGCAAATCAGTCAGATAAATCTACGTCGTCGCACCAGAGCGTTCAGTCTCAGCGACGTGCGTTCTGATAAACGTGAAAGGAGCCCCACTCCTCTAAGTCCTCTCGCGATTGACAGCAACAAACCTATCGACGTTAGCAAGACGAATCAGAAAACGGTGACCATCATGTCACCGGCAGAGGAGATGGCCTTGAGGAATGAACAAAGTTCCGCGACAGCTTCCCCGAACTTCCGAAACGATCAGACTTCGCAGCGGGAAAATCAACAGGAAAGCGTAACTGTGCCGATTAAGTCCTGCATTCTCCAAATTCCCGGCGCCCCGCCCGCGGCGGTGAATACATCAACAATTTCAAGTATAGCGAGCGGAATGTATCCTCAAGGCAATAAAACTTCCATGCCGGTTTACGAACCAGTTTACAAACCAGTATCGTGTGAAGAAAAAACATTCGAGCAGAAACTGATAAACTTTAACGACGCATTAGATAAAATGGTTCAAGAAACGAATTTTGATGTCAATGAGACCCCGCTTAAAACGGAGAACCAAGAAATGAAATCCTTGAGTAGCGAAAATTATTCAAGATTGAGAAGCGAAAAGCTCAGTGTGCCTATAGACTCGTATAAACCACTGCTGCAAGTGATGATAGAAAAGCCGACGGTCAATCCTTTTGAGCAGTACAGAGCTATGACGAAGTCTAGTCGAGACGATAACATCGTCGACTTGAAAGAAGTCAAAGTTGAAAAATCACCTAAAACATAATGACATCATTTATATTGGTCTTGGCAATGTGTCTATTTTTCTTCCTGAATTTCGGGACAAACATTTATATAACAAAAGAGTTGTGTAAATCTCTCTTGCCTGTTTGAAACGCGATTTTCGTCGTTGTTTTATCCGTAAACAATCGTATGATATTAATTTTACTCTGTGCCGATTTTGAAATGCTATATTATAGGACTTAAAAAATTTGCTCTTCGAGAAAATACGTATTTTAATAATTATAGATAGGACAAATAATAATTTTATACCGTAATTTAATAACGATGAACTTTTATAAAAAGTTTTGAACAATGAGTTTTTAAGAAAGTGAACTTTAGTGATATGTTTAGACGTAATTTAATTTGCCAAACTAGTCGAATCCGCAGGTAGGTACTTCACATAAAATAAATAATCGGCAAATGATAATTATTAAGTATGTATAAATTACAAGATATGTAAAGTATTTAAATCGATAAGAAAATCAAAAAGACTGTGATATAAAGATGTTTATTCTCAATGATTATTCCTTACTTAAAAGATTAAGTAAATTAAAATTTAGATAAAAATATTATATACGTAAATAAATTATTGAAAAAATACCGTGATAAAAAAATATCATCACATTTTTCTTTATAAAATCTGAAATCTAAATTACTCCTTTCTTAATTTGAGGACGTTATTACACAGACTTCTATATAATTTAGACCGTAAACATGCTATAGTTTCATATGTTGAAGAGATTGGATGAAGAAGATGGCTAAAGAGTATTTATAAATACAGCGGAATAACAGTGCGACAATAAAAATCCGTAAAAAGAAAAAACATTTAAATAAAAGCTGATTGATAATTATAAAAAAATGCCAAACGCAGCTATAGAAGTCTGTAGTTGTTACATTACATCGAATAAAAATGAAAGTTGCATAATTCATGCGTTAACATTTCATATCGCGGTTCAAGTCCTAACCGCGACCTGCATATTTATATCACTCACGCGCGTGATCACACTTATCTCATGTTAAATCTTAATAGTTAATATTTTTTTCGGATATGATCAAGGGAACAAGCTGTGCGAGACGTCAATTTTACTGACAAGTTCTTGTAAAATAAGTTATAAAGATGTATTTTTGGTTTCCTGAGCGGTTTGCTCGAAGCTGTGTGTGTATACATGTGTGTGTTATTACTATAAATAAAATCCAAACAAAAAGTTAAAAGCTTACTCACGTGGAAACAAATCCACGTGACAAAGAATACAAAGTAACTATCACTTCTTCAACAATAAGTATATTTACTTATTGTGCTTCGGCAATTTAAGTCCGCAAGTGACACGGAGCTTACTTGCTCATCGGTAACACAATTCATCGTAGAAATAATAAAGAAACCTCGCGCCGTGAAAAAAAAAAATAAATAAATAAACTTGTAACGCGCGAGTTTAAAACAAGTCTAAATGCAATATAAATATTTTTTCTTGTACTGATGTTGATTTTCTTTTGACTGCGAAGAGAAGTATACAAGAGAACTATGTGTTACGGTAATGTTTCTAGTCGTTTTCGTATTTCTTCAACGAGTTTGTTGCGCGGCACGCGAGCTTCTTCACGCGTTGAGATGACTCTCAACGTGACTTCACCCTTGGCCAGTTCACTCTCCCCGATGATTATCGCCAGAGGAATAGCGTTCTCTTCGCAAAATTGCAACTGTACCAGAAGCTTCGCGTTCCTTTTGTAAGACTGCTCCGCCTTCAGTCCGGCTTCCCACAGATCCACCAGTATCTTCATTCTCTCCTCGTGCAAGTTCTTCTGCGCACTCGCCACAAACACTTCGGTCTCAGTAGTGCGTATTTTTCTACCTTTGTTCGCCAGTTTCGCTTCCATAACGCTGAATATCCGTTCCACACCTAATGAAACGCCAACGCAAGGCACAGTTTTGTTCTTGCTGTCGAACATACCCACCAAGTTGTCATAACGACCACCACCCGCCACACTACCGACTTCGATATCGTTACCTGCGAACAATTGTAGATATAAATTATTTTATGTCAAACAAAAGCTTTCAAAAATTACGAAAAAAAACTGTAGAAAAGCAAAATTACTACATACCACATAATACAGCTTCGTAAATGATACCCGTGTAGTAATCGAGTCCTCTCGCGAGACTCAAGTCAAACTTGGTCTTATCCAGAACTCTGTAGATGCTACAATATTTCAGTAACAATTCCATTGCGTCCAAGCCTTGTACAGCCGCAGGCTGTTTCATTAGTTCTTTGTCTTTCTTTAGTTCGGCTATCAGTTCCACTCCGCCTGACAGAGAGACGTACTTGCCGACTTTGTCGGCAACATGCTCGTCCAATCCTTTCTCATTTATCATCTCTTGTTTCACCTCTTCCCACGGACTCTTGTCTAGTTTGTCGACAGCAGAACAGATACTACGAAACTTGCTCGTAGGCACGCCGCACACGGCAAATATACCGTCCAACAATGACCTGTGGTTTACTTTAATCAAATACGGTCCCAGATCAAGATTCTCCAATGCCTCAGACACAACTCGGATGCATTCCACATCCGCCAACATCGGATCGTACTGGCCGGCAATATCAAAATCCTGGAACAGTTATCATCAATAGAGCTGAAATTACTCATAACATGTAATTTAAAAATATCGTGTACGTAATGCATATAATGCTTACACATTGATAAAATTCTCGATATCTGCCTTTTGTCGTTGCCGGGTTATCTCTTCGGTAAACTTTGGCAATATGATACCTTTTAATAGAAGATATCTTGCTCATAGCTAAATATCTTGCGAAAGGAACTGTTAGGTCATATCGAAGTGCAAGAATTTCACCACCCTGATCTTTCAGGTCGTAGATGAGCTTGGTGTCTTCGCCATATTTACCCATCAAGACTTCCTGTATAACAGAAACAGTTAGTACAATATACAGTATGGATAAAATTAATATTAAATAATTAATATTCTTATAACTTCAGTAAGCAACTTTTTACCTTCAGCTCGAATACAGGTGTATCTATGGTTTCAGCACCGTGGCGTTTGAATACTGCTATAATTTTCTCCAACACTCCCAATCGCACTGCCATTTGTTCTGGATTGTAATCTCTTGTGCCTTTAGGCGTTTTGAGAATGAGTTTGTGAGGGCAACCATTTTCATCTCCCAATTGTGCCTTCAGATCCAGTAACTTGGCAAGTTCCTGTTCTATCTAAAACAAGAAATGAACAGAATGTTTATAAGCACGGAACGAGACTGTCATTCTTATTCTGTATGTAAAAAAAGAATATCCGAGAGTATCGTACCTACCTGTGGTGTTGTGGACATTGAAACGTTGCGATTGTATTTCCGTATGACGGAGAGAGAATTGTTGCGTATCAGGCGTAACATCGTAAGTGGATGAAGGGATTTAAAAGGCAACCAGAATGAAAGAGAAAAGCCCCCTCAATGTAGATTTATCAAACTAGTCCAAACAGCAGAGATAATATCAGTAAGCAAGCTAGCAAGGGACTGCCATTAATTATTGCCATTAGCTATGCAATTTAAGATACACTTGTATCTTTCTCTTTTCTTTTTTTTACAAAATGTACATCATCTAGAAATCTTTTGTTTTTGCACTTCAAATCATTATTAATAACTTGCAATAACTTATGACAGCTCTGCTTGCAAGCAACCGACTGCCTCACCTTTTTATCTAGCGTATCTTTGCTAATATAGCCAATAGTGTTTAGTTGCTCAACCTTTTCTGCCAGGGAAGTGAATGGCGCTTCCGCAGCAGGAAATGCTAGACGCTCTTCTTGAGTAAAGCTTCTCATGTTAATGTACCATCTGTTCAGATGTGGCCACCTCGCAAGGTCATTAAGGACGACACACAAGGTGTTGTACAATTGGGTATCTTTGGACGTCGGATACCAACCATTTACATAACTGACATCAGCAAAATCATTGTTTACTCTCTCTAACTCAACCCTTATATCAGACTGCTTTCTGTATTCCTGAGAAACGAGACGTCTCTCTAAAGACCCAAAACATTGATGAACAAATAGGAGGACCTAGTCCTTGAACCTGATATATAATGCAGTACAACTACTACATTGCAAGAGACCTGTTACATCATTTGTCTGCTATTGGAAATAGTAGGTCTCTCTAATGTTATATTTATTTTAGGAAATTGTTTCTACATTTGTACATTTGTACATTTTTCGTACAAATATGAAGTTAAAACTTGAGGAATGAAAACAAAAACACGTAAAAAATGCAGCTGAAACCAACACGGATGTAAAAACGATACCGACAAAAATCGAGAAAGTTTCGAGAAAGTGTGCAAACCACCAAGTACGAAATCAAGTATGTTAGATGATTACGGCAAAACTGTGAAATCGAGTAAGACAAAAAACGGTAACGCTTTCAAGTGCAACGACATCGAACGCACTTTCGTCATTATTTCGCGGAAGGAAGTGAAAGGGACATGGATCAGAGTGACAATCAAGCGCGAAGCAGATCACGAAGAGACAAAGAGAAAGGAAAGTGTGCGGGTCTCATGGATCGCGAGTTAAGAAGATTCGGTGAGAGAAGCAGAATGCAAAAATGTTGTACCTGCGTTGCGTTGGCCCTTGTTGCTTTCAGTTGTCGCACCACTTCGCCCTGTTCCTTCACACGACTCAGCAACGTGTATCTTGATTCAGCCATCGCTAGTCCCATGCGGTCTCAGTCTCTCAAGGTCCGATCGAGTCCAATTCCGTCCGTTCCTGCCGTCACTTTAAAACTGACGAACGAATCGCGCAAGGTAATTCCCGCTATGTAATTGAAGTGGCTCGAGAGGGGATTCGTTTGTCAGGTTGACGGACTCGATCCCGTTTGCACCACATTTACTTTCTGCACTTGGAGTGAGCTAGACAAATATATATATTCAAATAAGAAAAAGACAGAAAGGAGAGAACAGTTAAGCCTGTTCTACAATAAGTCGTATGTCGCTGTCGGATGTCGGGCGCATGCGTATTGAGCTGGCGCGTGTCATCGAAAGCTGTCGTAAGTCGAGTGTCGCTGTCGTAACAGAAGATGACCAACTTTCATCTTTTGGCGACTCGCGACTAACGACAAAACATTTACCTAACCCTAACCTAATGACTTTTCTAGTAATATATCATTCCATACTGCTTAACCTTATTTATTTCCACATATTTGACACGATTGAAGTTGAAAATAAGTTAAAATTCATTTAAAAAACTTTCAATAATATGGAATCAACGTATGTCACAGTAACTATTGATGAATTAATTATAGAATTTGTCAAAGAAAATCCTTGTGTATATAATAAAAGCGACGCAAATTATAAAAATGTTGCAATAAAAAAAAGAGTGTGGCAAAATCTGTCCGAAAATCTAAAAGCCTTATATGATGTGGATATGACAGGTAATATTTATTTTAAATTCATATATAAATAAATTAAAAATAATATATAACATAATGATCTGTGTAGCTGATGTCATAGAAAAACGTTGGTCGTCATTGAGAGATATGTTTAACAGAGAACATAGAAAACAAAAATTGCCACCTTCAGGTTCTGGGTATACACCTACAAAAGAGTGGGAACTATATAAAACTATGCTTTTTTTGATTCCTCATTTAGCTCATAGACGGTAAGTTGTAAATTATTATAATAGTTTTTATGTATTTGTTTTTTTTTTATGTATTTGTATTTTTTTTGTCATTTTTTGTAGAACAAAGACTTCATTTCCGCTGCCGAGCCAGTCAACTAATAATTCAAGTAGTGCATCATTCGAAGCTACAAATAGTTGTTTATCATCTAACACATTGATAAACAGATATACAGTATTTGATAATTATAGTGAAGATGCTACTTTAGAAGGTTTATATCATTTAAAAGACAAAATATTGTTTTAATATTTATGCATTTTAATATAATAAAAAATGTATAGGTGAAGGGTNATCTTTGCAAACAGAAAAAGATGAATTAGAAACAAATCCTATTGAAGAAGACATGACAACTAGATCTACTAGTACAATGTCCAATTACAGCAGCAGTAGCAGCAATACGCAACTATCAGTACTAAACACCAATTCTAGAAACGTAAAAAGTCCTTCATTGATATTTAAACCGGTGAGAAAAGTTACACCGGAACCAGATAA